CCTAGCACCATCCAGAGAGAAGTTGCTCAATGACTATCTGGTCCCCTGGGTCTGATGTTCAGGGGATTTCCATGTGGCTAAAGCTTTAGGAGGTCCCCGCAGCCCAAAGCAGCATGCGCCCTGGTTGTATCAGGGAAGGGGGAATGATGTTTGGTCCATTGCTGCTGCTTTTTCTGATGCATTACATCCTGATGCTCTTGAGTGAAGAGATCCTATCATGGCTGCTGTGCTCCCTCTTTGAATTCAGACAGGACCCTGAATCTCTCTGTAACGAGAAGGTGAAACTAAGACTGGTTGGCCTTCTTCCCTAAAGCTTTCTGTTTTAAGGCTCCATCTCAAAAGGAAGATAGAGGACTCCAGGCAATATTGACAGCACCTGTCCCTGCGAGTCCTCCTGTGACTTCCCCAACTCCAAGACACAGGTCCTGCAGCTCACGGCTTGCTTTTGCAGGCAGGTGGTTACATGTGGCAGCTTTAGCAATCATGCTTACTGCTGCCTTATCTGAGAACTGTGACGTAGGGTTAGAAATCACACTGTAATGTTGCTCAAGGATGTGGAGGCAAGTTGGTACCATGAACACCTAGAAATTATTTGCTCGCTGTACCTGTTGCTGCAGCTCTGGCTATTTCCAGGGTTATCTCCTGCTGCCGTTGGATGGAGCAGCATGACTGTAGGCACTGCGGTTTGCATTTTATACCTCTCTGATTTTATTTTTTGTTTATGGCAAACAGCATTTCTTGTTTTAAAACCGCTGAGAAAGCTGCAATACAAATGAGCTGGGAAGTGGCATGCGAAAGGCAGATGGAGCCTTGCTCATGCAGAATTGTGCCACTTTGGGTGGAGCCCTGAAGGAGCGGATGCTGCTTTGGTGAAGTTTCATACCCAGGACAGGCTAGCAGGAGTTAATCCCACCTCTGATGCTTAAATAGTGAGGAGGCTTGGGCTGGGGGGAAGTCTCCTCTGGCTTTAAGGTGGATAATGTGCCATTCAGGATGGGGATGACAGGTGCCTTGCTCACAGACACGGAGTCCAAAACCGTGCTGGCTGTCATCCTCGCTGTCTGCCAGGAATGAAAGCTAAGATGTGTCAGGCTGTTTTCTGGGAAAAGGGCTTGGTCATTCCCATCTGGGCTGTGATTGCCGTGAAATAGCCCCCCAGCTGCCTGGCACCCAGTCTGGAGGCAGAGACCCCCCACCGGCCCTGTCCCTTGAGGGGAAGGATGGGTGTGGGAAAACAAACACCATCCAAAGCGTGTGGTTGGGCGTTTTGGTTGCCTTCGTTTGCTTTTGCAGCCTTCAGCGTGGCATTTCCATGGAGAAACACCGCTAGCATTCATCGTACAAGACACTATTGTTGCATTAAATATTTTGTGCTTGTTTTTAAATAAACTCCGGAGCAGAGTCCCACTCCATTGCCTCCCAGGAGGCTGTAGTGCTCTGGCCCTCAGTAACAAAAGGCCATTCCGTAACAGCCACTCACTTGTTTGTGCCTGGGAATGAAGCTGGCCTTTATCCCAAAAGCCTTCCAGGGTTTTTTGTGGTTTTCAGAGTTCAGGCCAGTCATCGCCGCTGTCTCCCCTGCCTGGCTGCATGTTCCTGCGGCTCCCACCCCACCGGTCACATCCACTGAGCTCTGGTCAGGAAACCACACGTGGTGCATGTCTTCTTCCCTTCCCTCCTTTACTTCTTGCTGTTTGCTTGCTTGACAGCAGCGCTGGCTCTGGCGAGGAGTTGGCAAAGCCTGAGCGGAGAGAAGCGGGAAGCTGGGACCTCCTTGTCTGTCCAAGGTCTGCACAGCCTGTCTGGGGTGGGAGTTCAGCAGGTCGGGTTTGGTTTTGCTTTTTTTGAAGCTGCACAAATCCCAGCAAGAAGCAAGTACAGAGGCCTCTGGAAGACTTCTATAAAATGGCAAATGTCTCTGTTTCCTCTTAGTCTCCTCCATCAGTTGAGGTTCTCGCTGGGCTTGTTATCTCCTGGTTTTCAGAGCAAAACTTTCCTAGCCGCCAGTGGCTCCTATGTTTTCCTGATGATCTCAATATAAGAAAGACGTTTTTTACAGTGAGAACAATTATTCACTGGAACAAGCTCCCCAGGGCTATGGTAGACTCCCCATCACTGGAGGCTTTCAAGATATAATTGGACAGGGTGCTAGATAGTCTCACCTGGGCTCCCTTTCTCACAAAAGGTTAGACCAGATGATCTTTTGAGGTGCCTTCCAACCTGGGCTGCTCTATGATTCTGTGATCTCCTGGCTATGTTTGTTCAGCCTGAAGTTTCCTTCAGTGTTTATTTGAAAGAATTTGAGAATAAAATCTTCTGTCCATCCGTGGGAGTGACCTGGTCGTTGGGGTCCCTGCAGCACCATGCTGCTTGGTCTCCAGATGTGCTGCATCTGCCTGTTACCCATCTACTGGGGTGGTTAGCATGAATGGTGACTTCTCAGACGTTGAAATGACTTGCCCCCAGCCCAGCTCTGTCTTCTCTCTGCTGACCTAATGTGAGGTCAGAAGCTGCTGCACTCGGGGATGAGCAAAGTTGATTTTCTCAGAGGGACTTGTGATGAAGACTCTCCAGTGGAGCCACCCAAGACTGTAAGATGGAAAAACCTGATGCAGTTTGGGTTGAAAACCTAAACCAGCAGCATCACTGGTACAAGCGGGAGTAGTGAGGGCTGGTTCTTGGGCATTTGCAGATTCTGGTGACAATAAGCAGATCTTTATTTGAGAGAACACTACTGATACATTGTTCTTCTTGAAACAGCAGTTATGTAGCCCAAAAATCTCCATCAGTCTCTCTGGAGCTTGGCAGGCGTCCAGCAGACAGCCTTCATTTTGCAGGATGCATTCATGCCTTCCCATCACCTCTATCCCCTTTGGGGCCCCGCTTCCCCACACACATCCCAGCGCGCTGCTCGCCATGCTGGCTCTCTGCCCGGCTGCCACCGCCGGTCCCTCCACCCCACGTCATCGCCAACCGTTGGGATAAAATCACCTAATTCTGCTTCAGGAAGGCCTGCAAAACTTTAACTGCTGGCCTTTCCTTTCCAAGAAACTCTACTGGGGGGTTTCTTTTGCTTTGTTTTTCCCCTCTCTTCGCACCTTCAAGCAAGGAGGTGTCCCATCCCCTCTTAGGGAGCTTCAGCAACCCAATTGCCTGTTGGGTTTTTGTGGCTACGGGGTGCTGCTGAAGCCCCTTCGATCTGCATCAGGAGGTGCAACTCGTGCTTTTTTCCTCCTTCTGCTGGCAGCATTGCCACGAGGATGTTGGTGTCACTGGCCACAGAGCCCATCAGGTTTTGTGAAGAGGGGCTTCCTGCGGGGTCAGCGCGCTCCATTGTGCTGGCGCTTCCCCTGCAGCTGGCTTCCTCCCTCCTGCAGTGCCTAAATATAGCGGGAGGCATTGTGCGAGCATGGTGCCGGTGAGAAACACCGTCCGGAGGGTCCCAACACCGGGGCTGCTGGGGTGGTGTTTCCGTTGCCGCCTCTCACCAAGCTGGCCCTTGCGTTGGCGCTTATGTTGTTTGGGTGCTGGTGACTTCTGTTTTAAAGAGGGAAGAAGCAGGAGCCAAAGTTGACCCTTTCCCAAGTTTGACATGTCCGTAAGGGGATTTTAAACAAGTCGAGACCGTTATTACGTATCTGTTTTTTTAGAGAAGGGTTTAACTTGGCTTAACTCTGCTCTCAGCGCATGCCCTTTAGACTTTGCACTTTAATTATCAGAAGTTGTTTAAAAGCTACAAAGATAAGAAAAACCTTAAACACAATGGGCATGTACAAGCAGTTTTAATCGTGAGCTCTGTTTATACTTTAGTGCTGTTCCTAAAGGGGAGTTGACAGACTGATTAATAACTATAAAAACATTTTGACTCGTAGCAAAAGAAAACATTTAATTGAAGGGATGTGTCCCCCAGGCACTAGCAAGATGCACTGTATTGCTGTTAACCCCTGGGATGCCCCTTGTACGTTTATTCTCATCCTGATTTTTTTTTCCTCACTGTCAGTTAAAAATGGTGACTGCAGTCTTGCCTCATTTGTAATTATTTCTTTGATTATTTTTTTACATGTGTCAAATTGTTTTTGGATCGAAAGTAGGATTCACTTACAAAGTAGTAGAACCACAATACTTGAGAATATTAGTTAACCAAAAATGCACTAAATATACAGGATACATCAGGAGAAAGCTGGGTTTTTGGAAAAGGAAACAAATTTAACTGAGCTGGTAGCGTTTGGCTGAGTAATCACCATGGTCTCACCACTCTCATGGTTGGTGAGACCATGGTGATTACTAGTGGCAGCAGACCTGACCCTTGAGCTAAGCTCTTGTTTCCTGAATGAATAAACCCCCAATGCCTATTTTCCAAGCTTTGAACTAGTTATGGAGTAAGTTGACTGTGCAAATTTAGTAAGTTGAAGTAAAAAATGTCTTCCTCTCTGTAGAAGAATCTATAACAAACAAAAGCCAGATTATATTAAATTAGATGCTTAATCAGTGCTTTTCCCTTAGTTTTGTGGCTCATCTGTCTTTAAAATGTTAGCTGGATAAATATTTGTGTGATGTTTAATATAAATAAACCATATGTCTTACTCTTTATTTTTAAAGATATGTTAACTAATAATGTTCATCTCTTCTGCTTAATTATTTAAAACAGTATGTATGCCATGGGAACTCCCATACTGCAGCTTTGAGGATGCTGAAAAGCCTTTGTCTTGCCTGCTACATCTTCTGCCTATTACTGCTCGAGCTCTCTGCGTTTCCTCTGATTTTGGGGGTGATGGGGTTTTTAAGTTTTGGTGTTAGCAGCTTCAAACACTTTGAGATCTGACTCGTGTATGTTGTATTGTTCTATTATGTCTGCCGCCACCCCTACTCATATCTCCTAGGCCTTAATTCTGCACACCCCTAATTAGCGGCCCCGGGGAGCCAGCATGTCTGGCCAGGCGCTAGGGTGCTGCCATACAAAGCTCTGCAGTAATGTGTTTGCCTCTTGCTCTTCCTTGCAGGAATCTACATCCTGATTGCGGTCGGAGCCGTCATGATGTTTGTGGGGTTCCTGGGATGCTACGGTGCTATTCAGGAGTCTCAGTGCCTTTTGGGAACGGTAAGAGGTGTAAAGTTTTGGATGCCACTTGGCACCGTGATGGCCCTGCCACGGCCCTGCCGGGCGGCACACAGCCGTGCCTCCCTTGCTGGCAACTTTTGCAACAAACGGGGCTGGGAGGATGCGTGAGCACATAGGTGGGAACTAGCTGACCCCTGCAAGGAGCAAGGCAGCGGTGTTTGGCCAAGGGCATCCCTGTTGGGCATGCTGGAGCTCCAGCTGAGCTGGCAGGCATGCTGCAAGCTCCTGCTTGTGCCTGGCTGCAGGACAGAGGCTGAAGCCAGCAGCATAGCAGAAGAGGTGCGAACAGCAGGCTTCTTGGAGATTCATTTTCTCTATGTGAAACACCCCCCCATGCTTTTTTCCCCGCTATGGTCTGGCTGTCTTACCAAGCACCCACTAAATTCTCTTTCTTACCTGATGTCCCCTGCAGCTTCCCCCTTCACTCCGTTTCAAGGCTGCCTGTGGTGATTCTGGTTCTTTTAAGGAATCGTCTACTATTTTTATCTGTTTGGACAAGGAAACAGCAAAGATTTCCCACAATATCTTAGTGAGGACGTCTAGGTGCATCCTGGAAAATCCATTACTGAAGTGCTACAGGCGTCCTTGATGTGAGGCAGCAGCTCGGGATTCCTGGCACGGGATGAGCTTAATTGTATAAACTGTAGCCACACCAAAAGCCTTTGTCTTGGGAGTGAGGGAGACCCATTTATTTAAAGCAAGTTCTCACATGTGGTTCAGCTTTAAAGTCAGTGCAAAAAAAAAAAAAAAATTGGAGGGGTAAAACATAAAAAAAAAAAAATTGGAAGGACTTTCTAGCACTTGGCTTCGTTGGGCTGGAAGATTCTTCGTGGTGGTGTAGTGACCCATGGGTGTGGATTCAACTGGGACAGAGGGAAATGGAGCTGCTTTCCCTCGCTCTTGCAGATGGCTTCTCCTCTAGTTGCTTCTGTTTCCCAGTAAGAAGGGGGTGCTTCTCACCAGCTTTTATAAAGCACTTCTGAATGTCGGTGGATGAGAGCTGCTGTAGGAGTTTGCAGGCATTATCACTGCTGCTGAGAATAGGAGGAGCCAGTGCACAAATCCGACAGGGGTTGTTGTAGGGAGGTCTGGCAGCTTTGGATTATCTTTTTTTGTTAATGTAAGCGATTACAGAACCTGAATTACCCCTCACTCCCTTTTGAAGTTGGAAAGAGGATTAGAAGGGCAGATGGTACAACGTACCTGAGGCCTGACAGGGAAACCAGCTGCTTTGGCTGAAATTAGCAGCTCTAGCTGCTGTGCGCTGCCCATGTTTGCTCACACCTTGGCTTGTCAAGAGAAGGCTGGAGACACCTTGTAATGATGCCTTCCACTGGCCAAAGCTCCCACCGTGCTCCAAGGACATTTCCAGGCAGTGTCCTTAGGGTGTTGCAGGGAAGCAGCCGCTCTCCGCTCTCCTGCAGCCAGCTGATTGAGTGACTATAGGCTTATTGCAAAACGGGAAAGTACCAGGAACCTCCACGCTATCAAAATCCTGTGCTGAAGGCAGCATGGAGGCCAAGTGGTGAGACCCAAGGAAGGCAGGACGGAGCCGCTTGGCATGGAGCGGGGCTGCTCCCTGGGAAGGGGCAGGGGCACATCCAAACACCAGGCCAGGAACACCGCCATGTTTCCATAGCGTCAAGCTGCATCTCTGATGTTCTGCAGCCAGCCAGCAGAACTGAGTCTGCAGGACGTTGTACCTCCAAATCTGGGATAAATGAGCCATCCTTCACTGGAGGGTAACCACTGCAAGAGTGAACCCTAGTCCTTAACCAGAGAATTACAGTGGCCTTGCACCCATGATTTAGGGTGATGTGATTCCTTGGGGAGGATGTGGGACCCAGTCCCCTAAAGATGTTCCTGGAGAACCAGGGATAGATAGGTATTTAAATAGCAGTTCATTGTTCTGGGACTGGACAAGGATGTTGGAAGTCCTTTCCTGCTGTCAGGTGAGTAGTCCTGTTTCCATTTTGCTGATAACCCTTTGCTCTTGCACATGAGAGCCAGGTCATAGCATCATTCTGGAAACTCCCGTTTCCTCTGTTGTTGAAGAAAATGTCCTGAATGTGTCTGGAACAGAGACTGCCCAGAATCCAGGAGCTGTTGTCCCGCCTCGTACCGTGATTTTGTGTCTTCCCCTGACTGCATTCACCTCTTTTGCTTCTTTACTTCCATGGCAACTCTCCCAGTTGGGGCTTTTCTCAGGAAGAAGTCACTGAGGGTGATGTTGTCACAGAGGTAATGTTGGCTGTGTGTGGAGCATGCCTGTCTGCGCCTTCCCACTTGACTCTGATGTATGAGCTTTACAGCTTCCCATTCCCAGTCTAACAGACTGACTGTCACAACGTGTTCCCAGGATCTGAACAAAAGGATGGAGAGAGGCTTTGGGGGGATGGCAAGGAGGGGTGCTGGAATTGCACGAACGGGGTGGGACTGTGGAAGATCATCAGTGTTAGTATTTATGCAAAAAACTGCAGAAGCCTTGCAGGGCTGTGGATGCCAAGAGAATTGGCCATAAATCACACCCTGATGCCCTGCAGCTCCTCAGCAGCTGAAATGTGCTTTTAACCCTGCACTGGCAATTCCCATCCTCAGAGCATCTGTGGCAGAGCAAGAAGCTTGTCTGGATGGTCCTGCAGGTGCATGAAGAGGAGCAATGTGTCTTGTGGTGCACAGGGCATCCTCATCCCTGCCAGTCCCTGTGTGGGAAGGGCCCTGCTAATCCCCGCTCAGCCATCCCAGTGGGACGTCTGGACATGGGGTGGCTTCCGATGAGTTATAGGAAAATGTGTTTGGGCTAAGCGTGTGTATGAGAGATAAAATGGTTTGAAGTCGGGCAACACCTTGCTCTGATCTCCATCAGTAGAACTGCTGTTCCACACTTCTACCCACCTAATTGCTGCTTTTGCCTGTAGCCAAATATGTTAAGTGTCCGTCTCTTGATTTGTCTGCAGTTCTTCACTTGCCTGGTGATCCTGTTTGCCTGCGAAGTTGCGGCTGGAATTTGGGGATTTGTCAACAAAGACCAAGTAAGATGACTCCGAAACCTGCATTTGTGGGACTGGGAGGCTGGGGCAGAACCACAGCAGATCCTGGCACGAGCTGTTTTGCTCACAAGCTGCTCCCAGACTGAGTCATGGGGGCTTGGATTAGCTGTGTGACCTGGGCAGGTCACCTGACTCCTCTTGGCTGGGCTGATGAACTTTAAATGTGAGCACTTGATGGTAGCAGCTACCCCTTATGGCATATAGTGCAATGCCTGGAATAAAAATAGCCCCGTCTTGCTTGGGTCTCCTCCTTGCTGCCACACTGTCAGTCACAGTGTGAGTTGATTCATGTGTGAAGTCATGAAGGAAAGCCATCTGCATGTCCTAGGTGCCAAAGAGTGAACCCAGCCGCGTGACCCCGAAGGGAAGGAATACCATACGGGGAGAGCCTGCGTCTGCATTAATGGGATTGCTTGATGCTTCCTGCTCTTTGCCGGTATCATATAACCCACTTTGGGCTGTTCGTCTGCCAGGACTGAGCTTGCTGCTGATGAATACGCGGTGCACGCGTGAGGGGTAGAAGGGGTAGAAGTTGTGTCTGTCCTAGGCCCCTGCTAGGGACTGCTTGGATGAAGTCCTCTGGCTGGAGGGGGTTAGCTAATGGATAGGACTGAAAATTGCAGCTTTTCACCTTCCCTTTCTGCTCACCTTCCCTTCACTACGGTCACATGTGCTTGCACACATGCAGAGTTTGGTCTTGAAGAGCAATACTATCAGTGTATGGGAAACATGGCCATGCTGCAGCAAGCAGCGGGCTGGGTGTTGATCGCTCAGCCGTTGAGGGTTTGGAGGAGAGAAGGGGACTGCTTGTGCTCAAAGCCAAGGTTAGACTCTCTGGCAGACTAGGAAATGTGTTTACTTTACTAAGAGACGTAAGCCAGCTGTGTAAGTAGGTGGTGGCTTGCTCAGCTTTCACATGCATGTAGGCCACATATGACCAGCTTGTCTGTGAATGGGAACACCCTTGTAGTCATTCACCAGAGAGAGCATGACTTCACCAGAATAAACTCTTCCGTGGCTAAACATATTATTATGCAGGCAGGGTGCTGTTTCCTAGCAACTTTGGCAAGCTAATTAACCTTTGCAGAGGGGCTGTGCCTCCTGCAGATGTTAGTTTGTGAATCCTGAAGAGTCCAAGACGCACGCCTGAACCGACAGCAAGAAAAGTGAAGCCTGAGTAAGAAGGGACCCCATGGCTGTTGCTTTCCATGCTGGGGAGAAGATGCTTGGCCATCAGAGCATAAAGCTGAGAAATTCAGGATTTGCCAATACAAGAGCGATGACCTCAGCCCCTAAAATTAATTTTGCAGTTTAAAGTGAACAGTGGCAGTCTGTTGGCCTCGGCTGCTTTTGCAGCCTTGATGATGAATGGGCTGTTTGGAAGTCCCCACTCACAAGGCAGGTGGCTTGCTTCTCCCTGCCTCGGTTGGGGACATCTCAGGAGCAACATGGGCTGGGAAGGAGGTGCTGAATGATCCCAGCCACCGAGAGCTGCTCCCAGTGGGGACTCCATTCCACCTGGGTTTTCAGCCCCTTGGGGGGACAGTCATCTCCTATCACACGGGCACAGGATGCTCTTCCACGAAACTGGAGGCAGTCTATGCCTCAGCCTGCCTTCTTGGAGATGCTTTAGATACAGGATGGGGAGGCAAGAAGTAGGATTATTATTTTATTTTTTTCCATGTACCAGAATCAAATGGTTTGACCGGAGAACATCGCCCTCCAAAGCAAACTTTTTTGAGCAGTGACGGAGAAATGCTGGGATAATTGATTGAAATCACGCTTCTTCTTGCTTCAGTTTCTTTTTTTGTGTGCTAATCCAGCCTGCGCTGCCAAGAGCAGATGTTCTGGAAAGCGTTTTCCCTTTCATACTTGCTCGTATTTTTTTCTTTTGCTTCTCTTGCCTGTCCTCCTTTCATCTGTCTCTCCCAAATTATTGGAGGGTGCTAGAGGAGAAGCCACAAGGCCAGTTTCCCTGAAAATGAGGGGTTTTCTGCATTGTGGAGCAGACCCCCATGGGTGGCTGCAGTTTACCAGCCCAGGTGGCAGGGCTAGAGTACGGATGAGACTTTTCATATAACCATTTACAGGATGGGGGTGCTCGGCTCCAGGTAGGGACCCAGCCAGAGTTTGACATCCATCTAAAAGCACCTAAGCTTCCTGACCAAATGAGCTGCCTCACTAGGCTTTAGTGTGCAGTCTCGCCCAAATTCCTGCCATCCCCTCAGAGCCAGAGAGTCAGCTGAGGTGCCCATACCTACAGATGGCCTTGCTTGCGCACCCCACCTCCTCCTGACTTCCCCAGTGTGTCCTGCCTCTGCAGCCTCGGTGGGAAACGTGTTGCCTGCTTGCTTTGTCTCCATGTGTCGGGTGGTTCAGAACAAGCCATTTCTGCATTCCTGAGCCTTAACAGCAAATCCATGCGGGCTGAAGGCTATCTCAGATCTTGTGGTTCGCCCTCCGGGCCTTGGCTGCCTTTGCCTGCTAGAGAGAGCTCATGGAGCACTTGGATAGCGTTGGCTGGAACCTGCTGGCTGGTGGATGAGGTTCTTAATATTTGCTGCTCTTAACACACTACCGCTGGAGGGACTTGAGCCCTATGAAAGACAGGCCTTTTTTCATGCACCTGTGCAAATAAACAGGGTCCAAATCTATTTAAAAAACTGCTTATCTACCTGTGAGTGCCATTAGAGGGAACCTGTCCCCTTCAGGCACATCTGCTGAGTGGGTTTCCTCCTTCTCCTCTGGCTGAAAGGGATTTTTTCCCCTGTCTTTCCTAGATAGCCAAAGATGTGAAGCAGTTCTACGATCAAGCATTTCAACAAGCGCTCATGGCAGAATCAGATATGAACAACGGGAAGGCTGTAGTGAAGACCTTTCATGAAACGGTAAGATGTCGGCGGTCTTGCTGCACGCTCTGCTTAGGCTACGTGCAGTTGGCCAAAGAAACCACTGATGGATAGGATCCTGCATGCTGCGAATTACACCCGGTTAACTTCTGCATGTGGCTTGTTAGTGGGTAAGTGGTGAGGAGCGACTGTCGCTGATCCTCCCCACCAAGGCAGAGGCAATAAGTTGAACTACAAGTCCTCAGGCAGGGAATGAAGGCAGTGCTGGATTTTTTGATGCTTAGGAACAAACTGGATCAAATGTGTTCTCAGCACTGGGATTTTGCTGCCTGCTTTCCAAGCTCTATGAAGAAATCTCCTCTCCATAGGAGTTTTTTGCAGCCAGAGGAAATGAGAATGTGGGAGGAAAGAGAATTAAAAATGGGGGTCAGTAAAATGAGTGGGAAAAGCAGGGTCTAAAGCAGATGATGCTGCATGCAGGTCTTAGCCTGTCAAGTTTGCTGTTCTTACATATCAAGAAACAGAGTTGCGCCCTCTTCAAAATTCTGTCCTTCGCACTGTGCTGGGAAGTCTGGCCTGAGCTAATTAAGTTGCTTTTCATTTACCTCAGCACCCCTGATATAAGTAAAATTCAATGAAGGAAAAATGTTGCTCTGAGGAACTAATCCCAATACTTCCTCTGCTCAGCAGGAAACAAAATCTCTGGAGAGAGCTGGGCTCACTGTCCTCCAGGATAGCAATCCCAGACCTGTCTGGGATTATTGTAGGAAGCAGCTGCATTGCATGGAAAGAAAAAAAAAAATCGAATTTGGAGAGTTATTTCCCCTCCCTTGTTTCCCCCTCCAAGATGCCTCCTCGGTTTTGGGTGGCTTCAAGGATGTTTAATGGTGGGGAGAGCATTGCATGAGTGTTTGTTGTCTGCTAATGCTGTTTTTTTGTTGGGGTTTTTTTTCCTTTCTCCATGTAGCTGGACTGCTGTGGTCCCGATAACGCAGTAGGAGCTATCACTCCCCTGTGGAGAGACGACCTCTGCCCAAAGAAGGAAGCCATCCTGAAAAACCTTTTTGAGGTAGGCATGGCTGCTCTTCGCTCAGCACAGCTCCTGCGAGGAAACTCAGCTGCCAGGGAAATTTGGGGATTAGATAAAGGGTAGAGTTTTCATTTATTTGGGGATGTTGGAAGTTATCATCGGTTCTTCCTTTGCTGTTACTGCTTGAGGGGGCTGGCAGGCGTGGAGGGGTAAAGTCTGGTAGGAAGTCCTAGAGCCAGGACCCAGGAACGCGAGCGGGACTGAGGGATAGCAGACCTGCCTTTCTGAGTGCCAGGGGTGGGCGAGGGGAAAGCAGGCTCTCTGACCGGCGTGCTTCTCTGCTTCAGTCCTCAAACTGCCACAAAAAAATTGACGAGCTGTTCTCCGGGAAGCTGTACCTGATCGGTATCGCTGCCATCGTGGTTGCTGTGATCATGGTAAGCATGACTGCGCGGCGCCCTGCTGTTGTGGGACGGGGAAAAGCCACCTCGGGGTCCCTCAGTCCTGTTCCAGCTGGGCTGGATCCATCCCTCTCCTCCAGATGCTTCTGCGGCTCAGCGTGCAGCACCAGCCCTCTGTACCCCAGCTGCTCTGGGATGTGGCGAGACCAAGGGCTTCGTCATCCTTCTGGGGGGTTGGAATGTTAGGGCAGGTGCCCAGCGAGCGCGGTAAAGCCAGGAGCACCTGAAACCCTATCCAGAAGGGCAGAACACTGTTGAGCCTCCTCGCTGCCTCCAAAACTGCTCGTTTCTCAGGCCGCCGTGTTTTGTCACTGGGGTCTGCAGTGGGAAGGGATTTGCTTTCTTTGCCACAGTGCATTTGCTCTCCAGTGAGCGGTGGGTGGCGTGGGCTGGTAACCCAGCGCCTGCGCAAAGGCTGGGCTGTAATGCCGGAGGGATCTCGAAGCGTTTGCTGTGTAGCTGGCAGCTGGGAGGCTTGCAACATACCACCACTGCTGCCAGCGAGAGAGGGGAGAACATCATCTTATCTTGAATTGGCCAACTCCTAATGAAAACAGCGGTGAAGACAGCATCTCTGCCCTTATCTCTGGCATGAGAGTGTTTATGTGGAGTGGGGGACCTTGGGACGGGGGGGAGCTCCTGCATCCTACTGGTCGGCACCTCACTGGTGCCTCTGTGTCTCCCGACAGATCTTCGAAATGATCCTGAGCATGGTGCTGTGCTGTGGCATAAGGAACAGCTCCATCTACTGAGCCGTGAGAGCTGGGGAGGGGAAGGGGGGAGCAGGGCGGACGGCGCTAGAGGGGACCCCAAGTGCCACCAAGTGACCAGGAGACATTTCAACAAAAGACGAAGACAACTATGTATATAAATACTTCCAATATTACCATACAGTACTTATCATTTTTATTTTGAAGTACTTTTTTTTTTTTTAATAAAAAAAACTTCCCGG